TCTCACAAAGGCTCATCCTGATCTTAACTTTTAAAAACATCCAAAGATTTATACAGAGCTATTTATTATGAATAATGGAAAGGAAAATATTCCTTTCTGATTAAGCAATCTGATATTTTGTTGACTACAAGCATGACACCATAAGTGCTAAAATAAAATATATTATAAGTTAGTAAGATGATCATAGTATAATTATACATATAAAATACATAACTTGCACTGAAATTTTGAAATAAAATTTGCATTATAGATATTTGTATGGGGCTTTATTGATTTCTAACATGATCCATTTTTTCATTCATCCACTTTTTTAAACTTAGTAAAAAATGTGTATATTTGGAGAAGACAGAGAAATTAAAACTTAAGTTGATTTCTAACTTAAGTTCTTACTAAGGGGGATAGGGTTTTATCTTAGAATTTTGAATACTGAATTATAAAAAAAAAATTAGTTTCGGATCCAACACATTTAAGAAAATCCTGGTGACAAAATGTCAGTACTGTAGATTGAAAACCTTGCTAATTTTGCATATGAGGAATAAAATCTGAAGGGAATACCAGAAAATTTCATTTTCCCTCCCCCCTGCCATATAAATCAATTTTGCAAACCACAGTTTTACCCCAGGTTTGCTTTTCATTTTTAACCCCTAAATCACTATGCATTCTTCATGGTTTTCAGTAAATTCATCAACATCAGTAACAGATTTGGCAGTAACAATGTAGAAAATAGACATATATGGGTTTAAGCATGAGGAAGATAAATAAGCAAAATAATGAGAATGCATACCACAGTTAAATTCATCGCCACCATCTAACCAAACACACAGAATGAAAACAGGAATCCCCAGAACGTGACACTAGGGTACAATGCCAAGATACAATCACGCACTCTTATGTCTGAGCATGACAAAGAAATAGATGGTCATGACCTCTTCTGCAGGGAGGGAAAAAAAAAAAGAATAATGATACAAGACACTTAATAGCAAAATTGTTCATAACTGCTGAGATTCTGGGAAGAAAAACAAAATGAAGGAGCCGCTACTGTAATGAGATAAAAAAACAAACAAAAAAACTAAAAAAACATGTCTATGTTTGCCAGTCACATTGCAGAATTGAACAGTCACCTGTCGTTTTCCGCTTAACACAGGAGAGATGAGTTGGTCTAGTATATTTGATAGCAGGTTTTAAAATGAATTTCCTGGAGGGAGAGTGGGCCTGAACTTCTGTTTTTTTAGCAAGTTCAGCCTTCTTATAAACTGCTATGAATAAGAAAACACAAAAAGCATACCATCAGGAAAAAATAAACACTTGCAGCAAAACCGAACGAAATTTCATAAGTAATTAGTTACCACTGTTAGGCACTTTCTTCTACAAAAGAGTAATAATGAGTTACTTCAAAAACGGTTTTAAAGAAGTGATTGTTAAATGAACCTTTTTTCCTTCTCACTTCATCTCTGGAGACTGTGCTAGGTTCCTTTTTAGCTATTTTTCTTTCAGGAGTGGAAATTCTGCCTCTCCCGGTTTTAAAAGGCTTTTCTTTTCTATGTTTCTCAAGAGATGATCTCCGAGCTTCCTTTTCAGCTTTCTCCTCTTTAGGAATAGTTTCTAACTGTTCTGTCATGATGCTCCTATCATCATCTGCGGATCAAAGCAAATCATGACAACAACAACAACGAAATCATTAGTAACAAATGTACAAAATCCTTCGTATATTTAACAAAATGCAAAATAAAGAGAGAAAGGGACATTTAAAAAAATGTTTAAAGTGAAAAAAAAGTCCATTAGCTTATTGGGTTTGATTTGAAGTAGAAAGTTAAAAAAAATAAAAAATAATGCACACCTTGAGTGTCCACCCAGAGGCTGTCAGCATCCATGATGGAGTCATCGATGGTGGTCTCGTCTTTGTACTCATCATAGGTTTCTGTCTTGTACTCTGAGAGTACGACCTCTTCTCTCTCAGGGGAAGCTGGAGCTTCTGGGGAGCCTTCCTTGGGTTCTGCCTGGGCTTCAGCTGCCACTTCCACTTCAAGCTCTTCTTCGTCATGAGGGGATGGTCTCCTTTCCACCTCAGGCTGCTCCAGGGCTGCAAAACGCACACTGTGGGACCCTGACTCTCCTTCATCAGTTGTGGTTTGCACGACAGTGATGAAATCATCTTCAATGGTCACAACGGATTCGATCACTCCTTTGTGTTCACCTGGACAGGTCTCCACAAATTCCTCCCTGACACCTGGAACACCCAGGTCGGTGATCTGAAGGGTGTCTGAGCGGAAGAGCAGTTTATCATATTCTCCCTGGGCTTCTATCTCTTCTTCTTCACCCTGAGCCTCCACTGGTTCAGACATGACTGCTTCAAGCAATGGCTCTGTAACGTCAGAGGGTGTGATAGATATATCTGGGGTCTCTTTGCTTTCTTCTTTTGGCGGCTGAATAAATTCCATCTGGACATCAGCTGTCTCATCGGTGGCTAACTCAGCCTCTGAAACAGCAGGTGGGCAAGGTATTTCCACTGACAGTTTGATGGCAATCTCATCTTGAATTAGAGATGATTCTGGAGATGTTTCCTTCTTGCCCTCATCAGGCTTCAAGGACTCCATGGTGAGGCTTTCGTGCTCACCGCTAGACTCATAGGACTCCTCCTTGTCTACAGCCTCCTGGTGCACCAAGTCGGGCTTGGCCACCTTCTCTTTGACTTCTGTCTCATTAACTTTGGTGCCTTCTTTCATGTGGCCAGTCTCAACACCCATAAATGCATCTGCCTCTTGAGATGCTTTGGCTGAGGGGGTCAGTTCCTGTGTGGTCTCGAGTTTAAGCTCTGTTGCCTTTTCTACACCTATGTTTAGCCCTGCAGCCATCTGTCCAAAGTCACTGATTTTAATATCTAATTGACCCTGGTCAGCTTTCTTTGCAGCAAAATCCAGTCCTTGTTCAGCTTTTTTGGATGGCTCTAACTCAGCTACCTCTGGCACTGAACTAAGACCTTTGTCTGCTCTCTCAGATGATGCATCTTTTGATACTGTCAGTTCTTTGTCTGAAGCTTGTTTATAGGTTACTCCTAATGCAAATGTTTCAACTTTATCACCAGACTCTTCTGTTTCCTTGGCATGTTCTTTTGAATCAGCATGCTCTTCAGTCTTTTCTAGAACAGTATCTAGCTTATCATTAGATTTCCTTTCCTGGTCAAACTCCCTACCCAGTCCAGACTTGTCACCGGAGATATGCAGGGATGTTTCCTTCTCAGCACTGAACTCATCTTTGATTTTTCCAGCAGCTGCCAGTTTTACTTCAATCAGTGAAAGGTCTGTGGCCAAATCCCTTCGAATTTTATCCTCAGTGCCTTCATAAAAGGAACCACTCTCCCCTGATAAGTTCTCACTGTCTTGAACAGGTGATGGGAGTGGGACCGTGTATTTATTGAACACACAATAGCCCAGGTCTTCAAGCTGACTATCTGTTTTTACAATGACATGGTTTTCATCAGTTACGGGGGGCAAGCCAGGACTACTCTCCTCAACAACAGTCTCTGATGGGACTGATTTCCTCCTGGCAACTTCAGCATCTGCACTCACAGAAGCTAATCTTGACCGTGTGCCTGCTAGATCCAGCATCTCAGGCAGGTCAGGAGCCATGACGGTACCATTTTTGTAATAATCTTTGGCTAAGAAAGGTGACTCACATGATGTCTCGACTTGAGTATTTTCCTCTCCAGAAGCTTTTTCTTTCTCTATCTGTTCTTCCTCTTTGCTTTCTACTGGGAAGCAAGGGGCTTTCTCAAGGGCAGGTGTGGTGGCTGGAAGGTAGTCATCCCCTTCATCCATGCTTCCACTAGTGTTGGTTAGAATATCAGAAGCCAGAGGAGAAAGATCATGCCCCCGACCAAAGTTAAATCCTAGGGCGATGGAATCCAGGCAAGACATGGGCAAGTTGATTGACATGCTTCTTTGTTCTATGGCAGACCTACCACCCAGTCCTAAACTCCTGCTAAGTGTTAAATCATCTTTATTCTTACTGTGCAGATCTCTTTTCTCCCCATACACTTTTGGATCAATAGTGAACATTCTTTCTTGAGGAGAACTGGGTTCTTCAGGTAGATCAGACGGATGACTCTGTGCAAGCATGCTATACCCTGCTTCTTGTGCCGGAGCACTGGGCTGGATTTCTTTTCCTGCTTGAAATCCCTTGTCACCATTTTTATGCATGAGAGACATAGTATCAGTACACTCATGGGCACTTTCTCTTGTGTCACTCAGTTCATAGTAATCACTGCCTGGCTGAATGCTTTTTGTTACTTCTTCTTTCAAGGCAGATGTCTCAAAGTATTTGGACATGCCTGACTTATCTTCATAAAACAGCACATCAGGCTCGGGGAATGGTGCAGCTCCCATTCCTTCAACCTCATTATCTTTGTCAGCAAGTTTCTCTTCAAAAAGCTCCTGGGCTGCAATCTTTTCACTTAGTGCAGCTGGTTTGGTCATGACTTTCTCCAGTGTCTCAGAGGTCACGTCTGAATCTGTAATTGCTTGCTCCAAACTTACAGGGAATGAGTCTTGTTTTAATATATCTGTGGTAGGCTCTTGGCCTTTCTGTTCTTCTGAAAAGGTGTGCTCTGTGGATGTCTGAATTATGCTTGTTTCTTCATCTGTCACTTTGGGGAGTTTACTCTCTTTTGGCAGAGCTTCTTTGTCAGAAACAGTTGTTTTTTCTTCAGACATTAGCTGAGTTTCCTTTTCAGCAATTGTAGGTTCCTGTTCACTGGAGGAGGAAGTCTCTTTTTTCTGCACACGGAGTTTACTCTCTTTTGGCAGAGCTTCTTTGTCAGAAACAGTTGTTTTTTCTTCAGACATTAGCTGAGGTTCCTTTTCAGCAATTGTAGGTTCCTGTTCACTGGAGGAGGAAGTCTCTTTTTTCTGCACACTCTCTTGATTTATGGTCCCTTTTTCATCACCTAAAACCTTCTCCATGACACATTCTTCCGCAACTGGAACATGAGCATCTTTGGGTAAGGTAATTGCCTCTAAAACTGGTGCTTCTGCCATTTTGTCAGGTTTATCCTTATGGAGCTCTTCAACTTTAGAAAAGTCTTTGGCAGTAGCTGGGCCACTGGTTTCCTGAAGAAATTTTCTGTCATCTGGCTGTAAGAGTGCAGGGGCAAAGGGCGATGCTTCTGTAACTATTTCATTCTTCATGACATCTAAGGGAAGAGTGAAGGTTCCACCTTGAAAGGGACTTGGCATGGGAGAATCAAATTGTTTCCCTTCCCATTTTGGGATATCCTCAAGAACATCTATTTCCCTCATGGGTGTCAGGGGGCCAGGAGATATTGGAGCAACTAAACCCCATTCATCCTTTTTTGCTTCCATTGGCATTTCAATGAACCAGTCCTTTTGTTCTTTTGGAGCTGAAGGCTCTGTAGGGAGGTCAATGCCAGGTACTACTAGGCTTGGTTCTGTCTTCTGTTTCATGTCTTCTAGGCTGGCTCCAAGAGTGTGCCCAAACAGAGCAGGAGGTGCTTTTTCTTCTTCTGTACCTTGCATGTCCTTTTTATCAGGGTAAGTTTTAGTCATCTCTGGCTGAGAAAATAAGGCAGCATTTTTAAGGTCTTCACCAGGCTTACTTTGCCTCTCTGACTCCTTTTCCTTCTTGTCCAAATGTTCAGCTGCAGAGGGAGTCAATTGCTGCTGATCCTGGAACTCCATCTTCGAGGCTGCAAGTAAATCTGAAGTAATCGGGTTGATTTTTAAACAAGTAATAGGTAAGTGCTATCAGGCAGTAAGCTTAAAATTATATTTTGAAATGATAAATGAATGGTACGGTGGAAATAACAAACAATGGAACATGCAAGCATGCTATCCATTTAAAAGTCAATATGAATATTGTCAGGACTGAGATATATGTATACTATTACTGAAATGAACTTCCGTTGTAAATTAATATGTACAGGAACTGTAAGAAGAATATAAATCTGAATACTCCTTTGTCCTTTTTTTGTTTGTTACATATTTCGTATGTGATGCATATTATAGAAAAAAAATTCATGTGCCTTCTATAGATTAAAATTATAAGTTAATGAATATTGAATAAGTAGCTAATGCTAGGGTACAAAAGAACATGTTAAGGACTAAACATGGATAAGGATTGATTTCTACTGAACGTTTTCATTGTTTTTTATTTTATTGTTTTTCATTTAAAGATAAATTGGCAGGCCATGAGCAGAAGGCCAATTCATAATTATATGTGTTAATATTTTCAGTTAACTTGATCAACAAAGGCCAAGACCAACTTTTTAGGCAACGAAAGGTTACAGGCATAAAATTTTAGAAAGCATCTGAGATTAATATCAGGAATATAAATAAATATCTGCTGTCAATTTTATATAATATGACCTAAGAATGGCAATTTCTACTGCACATTCAAAATTCTTAATTTCAATTATTTCTTAGTCTGTATGACAGAAGTAAGAAACTGTGAATTATACTATTAATACTGGGAGTCACGTGAGTATAAAAACTTTCGAAAGAGCTAGCTTTAAAACACCTTGGTCATGACCTCATTCCCTGGAACATGACCAACTGCTGAAGCATTGACCAGTAATGGCTTTAGAGATGCTTCACATAAATTAAATTGCACACTTTTATTTTTATTTATACACTAATCCAAAAGGCTTTAGAGTCTCACTTGTGTTTTTTTAAGGTCAAAAGTATTTCATTGAGATCATCAGAGCAAAATGTAGTTATCTAGAAAGATTTGGGGGAAAATAATAAAATTCAACCATCTCTAGAAGACCAAGTGTATGGATCATCATTACCTTATATACTTGTGTGTCCTGTTGTAACAATAGAAAAAAAATACTTTATGAACTTCAAATGAAGGTTAGATGAATGAAAACTCAAGAGATATGGGCATGATCAAAGGGCTTGGCTGCTATGGGGAGAAAAGGACATGAGAAGCATCAGCAGGAGCTCTTAAGGAAACCAAACCAGTATTCATTGAAGCATAAAAAATCCAGCACACTGCGGGTGCAAACAAAAACGATTCTACCATTTAAGCCTATATGTGCCAAAATCCAACTCTACGATTTGAAAGAAAAGCATATGAATTGCTGTCCCAAAAATAAAAACAAAAATATACATGTATTAGCAATGTGACTGGCAAACATTTGAGATGAGGGGGGGCGGTTAAAAAAAAAAAAGAAAGAAAGAAAAAAAAAAAAGCTCACATAGCATCCTCAGCCTGGCTGCAAAGCGTTTTGTATCACGGCAAAGGAAAATCAGGAATCAGCTGCAGCAATGGAAAACCAAGCTGCCACACACCTGCGCAAGCCACACTCTGCTCGTTAAGCCTAAAACAGTGGTCTTGTGATCACGAGAAGACCCAGAAATGAAATAGCGTTGGAAAGGCAACAGGTTGGTAAGCCGCTGGAGAGATCATTTGCAACATAACACATGCAAATCCTAAGAAAGACACACCTTCCCTGGCACAGGAAGGGGTTTTTACTTCTGGAGACACCTCCGTGACCTCTTTTACACTTTTCTCATGCGGGGCCCCTGCTGGGACACTCTCTTCAGGAACTATTTGAGCCTGGGCACTAGACTCCACTTGGCCCTCACTGAGGACCCTGGGTTGCTCTGAGGACTTAGCAGCCCCAGGCTCTTTCCCAGGAAGAGCGGCAGGTTTCTCTTCCTCAGCCATCGGACCCTCTAGCGTTTCTTCTTCTTAGGGATGAAAAAGATGTTGACATCATGACCACAGAACAATACACGAAACGACAGAAATATTAGTTAGGGAACACTTTCAGCTCCATTAGAATGACCTCACGAGGACATCGGGTGTTTTTTCTTTTACCATTTGGATGAGCAAATTAATATTCTAATGAAAGATACATTATGTACTGGTTGGAAAATCATGATGTATAATCTGCTGATAGTGATGCCTTTTAAAGTTTCATTAAAAAGCTGTTTATTTTAAAATTTGAGAGCTGAAAGGGTTTTATTTATCTATTACCCTTAGTAGAAATGGCAGTAAGTTGCACGCATGTGAAAAGCTTGCTGGAAATTAGAGACAGTGCTGCCGGTTAACAGATGGTTGTGAAAAGATAGATGTATTGATGTACTGAAAAAAAAAACCCTTTAAATTTGTTAGACATGTGCTGTTTTCTCCAATGCAGGAAGCCCCTACATATGAATTCTTAATTGCTTTATTTAAATCATGCACATTTCGCTCAAGAAATTCTTGGGAATAAAAAAGCCTTGCTTCAAAATAATATCCAACCAACTACCTTAACAGCATTATCACAAAGTCCCTTTAAATTTGTTAGACATGTGCTGTTTTCTTCAATGCAGGAAGCCCCTACATATGAATTCTTAATTGCTTTATTTAAATCATGCACATTTCGCTCAAGAAATTCTTGGGAATAAAAAAAGCCTTGCTTCAAAATAATATCCAACCAACTACCTTAACAGCATTATCACAAAGTCCATCAAAACTACTTAAAATATAATTTAGTCAGTATTTCCAAGGTAAAAGACTACCTTAGTCAATTTATGTTATTTTCAATGCATTATTTGATGTCAGAGAAGATGAAAATTTTCGAGGAGTAAGTAAAATATTTTGAAAAACAAGGTTTCAAGGGTTTGGATCCCGTTACCAGCCTGTCACCACCCCCAGCCAAAAAAAACAAAAACAAAAACAAAACCCTAGGAACACAAAGTCAAGGTCAAATTTAAATCTTACTATTTACAAAAGTCTGCCTGTGGAACACAATTGTCATCATATTGTTTAACCCTCTGACATATCAGTAATATAGATACTATATTTGACACTAATATAGAAAATGTGCATATTAGCAATAAAGTCTTATTTCTGCAATTCAAAACAAAATCACCAAGGGAAGATAATTGAGTGGCAAATAAACTGCTAAAATATCCTTCCAAAAGATGTATATCACATGAAACAATGTTAACATTTAAGATGTAAAAATAAAAAACAACTTATGAAGGTCATGAATTATTGCATTCATTTGTTTCTCATTTATACTTCAAATGCCAGTAAAAATACATAAATCCTATCTTATCACTTAAGAAATTAGAGGGAAAAATAAAAGTTATGTTATAGTTCTGCAAATGGAAGATTCTTAGGAAATTCATATGAAACAATTATACATTGTTTAAATGGATCTGCGGGAAAGACTGCAGATAGAAAGAAAAAGAATTTTCTTTTTTGAGAAATATTATTGCCCTCGTGAGGAGGAAAATGAGAGCGAGAACTATTTCATCTATCTTCTCACATTTAGCACTTAACACCCTTTCATCTTTGTAATTTAATTATGTAAGTAACATTTTAAAATTCTGAATCTAACTTATTTTAAGAAAATTGTTATAATGCCATAGATTTTGATTTGAAAATTCACATATTTTTTCTTGTTTCAAGTTCACACTATTAGAACTTAGTTTCCCTTAATACAGGTTATATTTCTTTATCAGTGTCTGAACCACTGATGCTCTGTGCTTTCAAAAGGGCCCTGAAGAAGGTAATTATTGTGAATATAGTTGGTGAGCTGTGAACTTATTCCTCATTGCCTTGGACCAATCTGCCCTTAAATTAAATATTGTCCCATATGTAAATAAACTCTTCAGCCAAGCAAATTACTTTTCTCTATTTGAAAATAACCTCTTCACCTAAGCAAAAATATTTTTAGCCATAATTTACTTTACAAAACTGCCTAGTTAGAATGAGACAAATGATACCCATTGCCCACTTATTTTATCCTCACCATAGCCAATTATACATTAGGGTCTCCCAGCTTTATAAGGCTGGAATGAGGAAGGCTGTGAATCATTTCCCTCATTTTAGCCAGGCTCTACTGATATGAGCCAAGATTTAGTCAGCTGGGAAAGCCTTTGAAGTTTTTGTAGATGATTAAATGATATGGGGAAATAAATTCATTCCATCATATTTATTCTGCTTTAAACAGATTCTTCAATCTTTCTCTTTTAAAGAGCTATCATATTAACTTAGCACTTAAAAGAAATCTAATTCTATTGAAGGCTGGTCCTAGTAATATTCTGTATTCGAGGAGGAAAAAAATGATATTCAGAGTCATCTTCTTCGATTTGGGTAAGAATATGTTCTTCCTTGACTAATCTGTTGACGGGGAACAGAAAAGAGTCATCCTTCAATCAAACTTATTATTTTGTTTTCTTTCCTTCCTTCTTGGAAATGATGATTTATAGAAAAAGGAAGTGCTCACATGCCTCAAGGAAGTCTTTTTAAGATATAAATTGTTGAGGCATTTGGATGGATACAACTTATGTAGGGGCTTCACTTTCATGTGGAAAAAACAGGCTCCTCCCGTCCCACCCCCATATGAAGGCCCACTTAACATGAAGTACGTGTCAAAGCTGCAGGCTGGGGAGGAGGAGCAGAAGGGGACCATGCTTGGTTCACCTGTCTCCTGGCCTAAGTGGGCCTCTGAACTCTGCGCTGGGACACTGAGGGGCACGCTAGAGGTAGTCCATTCTGAGCTGAACAAAGGATGCTCATAGTACTCCTCATCAGAATTGTAAGGGTCATCATCAGGCACAGACACCGAGATGGACGGGGCTAGGAGTCTACGCCTCTCCCCGCTGGTGGCAGGTTCGTGGCTTGGGAACCTGTGTAGAGGACCCACTTGATCCTCAGCCCCTTCATCTACAAACAGACACACAGGAAGAAACTGCA